GCTAGAGAATGATTACCTGTCACCTCACCAGATTACATTCTCCAGTGAGCCACATCCATTTGGTCTCAACTGTATTTGCTAACATCTAACTCTACTTGGCACAGAATCAGTACATGATAACCATCTGTGAAATGACCAAAGGAAAGGACAGATGACAAGGAGGCATTAACCTTCTGATACCAAGACCAACTTACCCTCAAAGGAGAAAATGCAGAGCTCAGGTGGGCCTTTAAAGAGAAGCTGCAGTACATGGGTTCACTGGTAGGCCTGATATTTCTTCTGCAATACAGTATGAGACAGCCCCACCCCTGAGCACTAGCAGGCAGACGGAAGGACTGATACAAGAAGAACGTTCTGGGAGAAAACCTACTATTAACAGTGTAAGAGCACTATAGCAGGTCTATCGGAACCTGATTCACTATCTTCTTAGTGTGAAAGTGTGGCTTAATGAACAGATAATGGCTTTGCTCTCTAGCTTCACTTTTATGGAATCTTCAAGTGGAAGAAATACATGTAATATGACCTGTGCCTCACTCAGCAGAATAAAATAAAGATTATCAGTTGAAGTTGGCTTTCTCTGCCACTTTCAAGATTTTGGGGGAAAAGATTCCATTTAAAAACATATGCTTTCAAGGGAGGAAATGATTTGGCATAACTTTCCCGTTAATAATGCACTTTCTTACCCATTAGCTCTCCTAACTCATCCATGTAGAAAGCAAGATGTGAGACAGGTCCATTATCATTTACCTATGGTAGTTGAGAAGCTCAGTGACTTACAGAATTCCATGAGGCTGCAAGGAGAGACCAGAGCTAGAATGAAACACTGGATGTCTCAGCTCCAGGACCACTTTCCTTTGCCTGTACCTGTTTTGCCTCATATTCTTCTGAAATTAGTGACCATTCCCTGACCACCTGGAAGGCTGCAAGTGTGGCAGGTGCTATAGTTGAATCTGGAATGTCCAGAAAGGCCCTGAAGTTGAAGGCTTATTCCCCAGTTTGGCAATACAGAGAGGTGGTAGGAACTTGAAGAGGTGGGACTAGTAGAGGTCTTTGGGTTATTGGAGACATGGCCTCAAAGGGCATATTGGAGTGTTGATCTCTCTTTTCTCTCTTTCAATTCCTGGCCATACAGTAAGTGGGTGTACCATGCCATGTTCTTCTAGGGCTCAGACACGAACCCAAATTTTCAAAACTATGAATCAGATTAAACCTTTACTCTTTATAAGTAGATTGTCTTACATACTTGTTACAGTGATGGGAAGCTCACTGAAACATTAGGAAAGCAGCAGGTATGTGCACACAGCTACAATATGAAGCTCTATGGGATAAGAATATGAACAGTTACCAACAACACTCTGAGCCCTTCAGACAAGAACCACCATTGAGGACCAAAAAATAAAAATAAAAAAAGATGGTCTTGCAACTACTGGAAGCGCCACCCTCTCACAGGGACCCACAGATGCTGAACTCAAAGCTTCAGGCTCTAAAGCTAACACACACATATGTACACACACACACACACACACACACACACACACACTCAGAAGAACAGAAGAACTAAGGTTAAACTCACTGGGTCTCCCAACCTGTTCTTAAAAGTCAACCCTCAAGTACAAGCCTTCCAGTCTTTTTTTTTTTTTTGATAAATCAGTATATTCAATAAATATTTACACTTCACTAATCATTTGGTAAATGAATATTTTGAGAATCATCTAACATCACTTAATGATAGAACCAAGTATCTAACTTGGTCTCCAGATCTCAAGCCATGCCTCTTCACGGGAAATCTCACTTCTTGTAACAAATGAAAAAGGTGAAATGAAATAGTCAAATAGGAACTTGAAGAGAGAACTACAACAAGCTGAGAAAGACTTATTAGCTTTGCACAACACTCTGTCAATAAAACCAGAAGTGGGAATACAAACAAATGTAGAAGGATTTAAATGGGACTAATAGGTCAAGGAATATTTTTTTTTGGTTGGAATATACTTTTATTTAACAAACTGATTCAAAAATAATTTACATTTTTATGCCGCTGAAACACTAACAGTCTCATTAACACAGACTCATAATATTTGTTTATATAAATTAATCTATTTCTAAAATTGCATTCTTTTTTTTTCTTTTCTTTTCAAAGTTTTATTGATAAACA